TTATTTTTAAATAATTGCGATAGAAGTAAATTACTGATTAGGAAGATTTTTAATAAACAAATGGTGTTATGTTACTATTATTTTTTTAATTCCATCTTTCATTCTTATTTAAAAAAAAAACTTTACCTTAAAAAAGGAAAATATAAAATTTCAAATAATTAATAACAATTAATGTCGCATTGTTAATGAAATTATTTGACGTTTAAATAATATTTCATTTCTTTTGAATATCTCTCTTTCTTTTTTAAATTTTAAACTTTCAATTAAAAAAACTGAAAAAAAAATTATCATTGTTTTCCATCTTTGTTCATTTTCTGCTTTTTTTTTTCTCCTTGCTTTTTTCTTTTTTTTTCTTTTCCTCTCCCACTTTCCACCATATTTTTGTTTTATGATAATTCTTATCATGATGTTTAAACTTGTATCAATGAAAAAAAAAAATAAATTGCCTTTTTTTTTTCTCCTTTGCCAAATATCTCTGTAATTTGATCGCTTATCAGATTGTACAATTCTCAAATATTTTTTCAGTTATCAAATTATTTATTTAATTTTTCTTATTACATATTTTATTAATTTATTAAAGTCGTTGATTGTAAATTATCAAATCAAGAATTCTACTTCAATTATGTACCCTAGCTAATTTTGTTTTTTTTTAATTAATATTTTAATAAATAATGAGAACTAGCTAGTCTAATGAGCGACTTTAATAGAATAACCGATTGATCGGATAATATGAAAAGTTTAATAAATTAATAGCATTATCAAAAAGGTTAACGAATGAAAAGAGTTAATTAATGTTTATAATAAGTTATAAAAACAATGAAAAAAATCTTATCTTTCAAGCAATTAACCTTGCATTTAATTTTTTGATATTAATTAAAGGTTTTTTTTTCAGTTTTTTAGATTTTTTTTTAAAAATAAAAGTATTTTTAACAGTTTTTCATTAGCAATTATCTATGTATTATACAATTTCAAGTTAATCGATTCGCAAGTTTATGGTAATTTTGCAGCAATTTTCGTTGAAAAACAAAAAAAAAAAGAAAAAATGTGCTTTTTCTTTTCTTCGATGTAATAAATCTTGTAATTTTTTAATAGCTTAAAAACATTTCCGTATTAAAATCCTTAATGAATATACTTTAATTAATTATTATTTGTAAAATTTCACTTTTTTCTCTCTCTGTCCCATAAATTTTATGTTTAATAAAATATTTATTCCATTGGAAAATTTAAATTTATGTTTAAATTAATGATTACCAATGATTTATTAACATTAACTTGCCTTTTTTTTACTCATTCTTCGTTTCGTTTCCAATTCTCTTTTTTTTTTTTATGATTGACAAAATGGTCATTTTGTCTCTCTATTTGTCTTATTTTTTAAATCCTAAAATGGTTATTCGATTCTTCCAATTTTTTTTTTGATTCCATTTTTCTAAATCCTAAAATGATCATTTCAATGCCTTTTTTTTTCTTTCTGCTAATTCATACAAATGCATACTATTAACATTCAACGAGTTCATTTTAAATTTTATTTTTTTTTTCAATTTAATTTATGATTTTTGTCGGCATGTCTTTGAACAATTATATCAGTATGATTTATCTTTTACATGCAAATTATTCCCATCTTACATTTTACAAAATGATAATTTTTATTCGAATGTTTCATCGCAGATGTTTCCATTTTATTTCTTTCAAAGTATATTTATCCCTTCACTTAGCGCTAAAATCCCTCTGTAATTACCGCCTTAACAGAATTGATAAAAATATGTATCGATCGATATTTTCATCCTTTCTTCATTTCAACGTTTTATTTTTCAAAATTTTTTTTTTAATTTCATAATTTCAGAAATGTATGTTTGTGATATTTGAAGTAATACGAATGAATGAATAATGTTGAAAAGATGGAAGAAAATGTATGAAAATTTTTCGATAATTTGAAATTAAAAAGAAGAAATTGGAATTAATTCAATTAATTCTTTAAATCATTTCGAAATATTTGTCTTCAATTTATTCATTAATTGATTAATTAGCAAGAAATAAAAGTTATAATAGCAAATATTTTTTATTGTAATCTGATTATAATGAAATCAAATTATTTTTAAATGATACTACTCGATTAATTATTCTGGAAATTACCTGATTTTGATTTAAAAAAAAGGACTATATTCTTATTGTTATTATTACTACTACTGTTATTACTGCTATTTATGTTTGAACTTTTATTTTCTGGAACAATTACGATTATCATTCATTTCTTGATGATAATGATGAACAATTTGAACATTATCACTTCATCAGCTTTATCATTATCAACATTATCCTTACCCTCGCTGCTTTCTTCATCAGCATCATTAATATTATCATCGTCATTTTCATCACAACCATTCTCATCAATATCATCATCATCATCAATATCGTCATCAACATTATCGTCATTATCTCAATCAATAAATCATCAAACAATAAAAAATCTATGCGGAAGACGACATATTGTATTGGATTACAAGCATCCGGAATATGCAATCAATTTTCCGGCTACTTCAATTTCTGATAATACGGATTATAAGCATCCGAAAGGAGGTTTTTCAATATCGGAAGAAAGAGAAAATGAACAACAACTTCCTTATCCGTTAGACTTCTATATCAACAATGACATTTCGATACTTAAGTAAGTTTGAAAACTTTTGCTTTTCGCTTTTTTCAATTATTTCAAAATAAGTCTTGTTTTTCCTTCAGACATTTTCAAATTTGCAAAATTTAATTTGAAATGAGAAAAATTTTGCTGATTAATTAGGCTGATATGAATGAGATAAATTGAATTTTTAACTTCTCAACAGATATTAAATGTGTCATATAATTATAACGCCAAATATTAATCAACTAATTTGACTACTGTGTTTGAAAAATGCTATGGAAATGAAAAGGGAGCTAAGTGTGTCAGTGGTGCTTAATGAGATTAATTAATGCGATTAATTAAGGGGATCGGCCCTTGACAAGTAGCGCCTAATGAAAGTATTATTTGAGATATATGCGAAATTGTTAAATTAAATATATTTTTTTCAAAGGTATTTTTTGGCTGATAATTAATTTTCTTTTTCTTCCAAATACACTATTTTATATTTATCAAGCTATCCTATTTTACAGTTGTAAGTTTAATTTAACAATTCAACAATTTCTTTTTAGAAAAATTTCGAAATTTTCTTTATTATCATTATTATTATTATTATTATTATTATTATTATTATTATTATTATTATTATTATTATTATTATTATTATTATTATTATTATTATTATTATTATTATTATTATTATTATTATTATTATTATTATTATTATTATTATTATTATTATTATTATTATTATTATTATTATTATTATTATTATTATTATTATTATTATTATTATTATTATTATTATTATTATTATTATTATTATTATTATTATTATTATTATTATTATTATTATTATTATTA